TCTCTGCTTCCACCATCTTGCAATATGAGACCCCTGGGTCACTGTCACTACCTTTTAAAAGGCTCAAAGAGGTTAAGTGATTTGTGTATTAGTCCGTTTCTGTTGCTTATAACAAAATACCTGAAACTGGGTAATTTACGAAGAAAATGAAATTTATTGCTTACAGTTTCTGAGGCTGGGAAGTCCAAAGTCCATCTTGGTGGTGGCAACAGTGACCCAGGGGTCTCACATTGCAAGATGGTGGAAGCAGAGAGGGCAGAGGAAGAGAGACAGACTCTCCTCTTCCTTTAAAGCCCTCAGATCCACACCCCTGACCACCATTACCAGATGGACTTTGGACTTCCCAGCCTCAGAAACTGTAAGCAATAAATTTCATTTTCTTCGTAAATTACCCAGTTTCAGGTATTTTGTTATAAGCAACAGAAACGGACTAATACACAAATCACTTAACCTCTTTGAGCCTTTTAAAAGGTTTGCCAAGTGGAGATAAGATAACAATTGGTAAAATTGCAAATGCTATATAAACAGAAAATAACAAGCCTTGGTGAGGATATGGGGAAACTGGCACCCTTGTTGCTGTCAGTGGGAATGTAAAACAATGCAGCTGCTGAAGGAAACAGTGTGGCCCAAACAATTAAGCATAGAATTACCATATAATCCAGTAAGTCCACCTCTGGGTAAATATCCACAAGATTAAAAGCAAGGACTTGAAGAGAGATGTTTACACCCACGTTTACAGCAATGTTATTCCCAACAGCCAAAAGATGGAAGCAACCCAAGTGTGCATCGACAGGTGAATGGATAAGCAAAATGTGGTCTATCCACACAGTGGAATGTTATTCAGCCTTAAAAAGGAAAGAAATTCTTATACATGCTATGACATGGGGGGACCTTGAAGATACTATGCTAAGTGAAATGAGCCAGTCACAAAAGGACAGATACTGTATGATTCCACTTATATGAGGTCCCTAGAGTAGTCACATTCACAGAGACAAAGAGTAGAATGATGGTTTTCAGGTGTTGGGGGAAGGGGAGATGGGGACTTAGTGTTCAATGGACACAGAGTTTCAGTTTTGTAACATGGAAAGGGTTCTGGATATGGACGGTGGTGATAGTTATACAACAGTGCGAGTGCTCCTAATGCCACTGACCAGGACACCTACAGGTGGTTGAGATGGTAAATGATATGTGTTTTTTACTGCAATATTTTTTAAAAAGTGCTATAGAACCACGACCGCTACCACCTTCATGAAGACGACTGGACTGGAACTGAGCCTTTCCAATTGCCTGCATGTAATGCCAATGGCTGAGTCCTGAATAATAGAAAATTCTGGGTGAATTTTCAATGCCACCAATTTATCAGAGAGTTTTGACAAGTATTCTGGGGTTAGGAGAGAGGAGACTTAAACATAAAATAGATGGCATCTTCATTTAAATGTCTTTGGATTGCTCAAATTGAAGCTGTCACCAACTGAGGTAACATTTGGGAAAATGCTGTGTGACTGTAAACTTCCCCACTTCTCATCCTTGTGGTTGTTATTGTTACCCCATAAGATTTCTGCCCTGAGGGAGCAGGATGAGACTGTGTTTCATGGCTGGTAGGAGAACGACCTCACTAAAGCACTGCAACGTTACAGAAAGTCGTTATCTGAGCCCAAGAAAGACCCCTCCATAAAGAGGGAAGAAATCTAGGACAGATGGTGGCCTAACCTCACTACGTTTCTGTTGGTTGTATATTGAAATGACTCTTTTAAGAAATAAAAAGTTATATTGCTAAGTTGGGCTGACCTGGTTCCCTAAGCCACTGTTCTAAAAGTGTAGACTGCCTGAGTTGGAATCACCTGGGGGGCTTGTAGAGTATTACTCAATCCAAGGTTCCAACGTCAGTCATCCTCGGTCAGGATTTCTGGGGATGGAGCCTGGGAATTTGGATTATTGACAGACCCCTTGGTGATTCCTAGGTGAGTCCAGGGCCATCCTAAGTGAGTCAGATAGGAAGCCTGGGACAGACACAGTGGCCATCTTAAGTGGCCACCATTTTAATGGGAGAACAAACAGTGACAGCCAGCAGGGGACTGATGTTTAGTCACAGGGAGGAGGCAGGCAGGGGCTGACGCTTGTGGGGAAGGGGACAAGAGCTGAGCCGCTGCTGCCTCCTCTGAGATGAAAGAAATCATCAGACGGGCACTGGGCAAACTTCTGCCCACTGGGAGGATTCCCCTTCACCACTGTCCTTCAGGAATGTTCCAGAAAGGGTCTGTGGTGCTGCTGCATTCACTTTTGGGCTTTGAACCCAGTTACCTTGATTTTGCAGCCATAAACTGTTGGGTTCCACTGCTGCCCATTTGTTTAATCACCAAGTTGCTGCTTTAATGTCCTCCAGAGAGGCCCAGCACTGTGGCAGATCTTCTCTTCACCAAGGCGATCATGGACCCCCATTTTGGACCAGCTCTCAGTGTGTCCTGCGATTGGGTTCTGCTGCCTCCTCCCCAGGGCAGTCCTTTAAATACTGAGGACAGTTGTGGAGCCTTCTCCCGAGGCATTTCCCTTTCCATCACATTCAACCGAGGCCATACAGAGTGGTTCTTAGGTTCCCTTCTAAAGCCCTGCCCCACCCTAACATGTTTCCTGTAGCCGTGACGTACCCCCAAGACCGAGATCAACTTATGAGATTACATAGACTTTATTTCCAGGAACAAACAAGGCTCTCAGGGAACAATCAATGGACAGAGTTAGCCCTTGGACAGCTGTGTTAACTCAACAAATGTTTCGTGAGCACTCACCACATGCAGGACATGAAGCGTGCAATGGCGCATGTCTGTGGACCACTGAGCACCAGCTCAGGAGGAAGAGCTCTCACGAGCCCACTCTTGCCAGCAACAGCACTGACACAGAATGGACGTGGGTGTCTGGCTCAGTGTTGATGACTCCTCCCCACCCCAGCTCCCTCTAATACCAGCAGGAGGTGGGGACAGCATTAGCCTCAGAGTGGCCGGGGTCCTAGAATTAATGATGCTTGCTCCTGATGACACCACGAATGCCAGATGGTGCATTTTTTGCTCTGAGTCACTCATACATGCGTTGCAGACAGCATTCCCGTACTGATGCCTAAGCAGGATTAGCAAGGTCTAGCAGTTGGTTTGTTCATTTCCCATGTATTTTAACAGCTATTTATTAATGAACGACTATGTGATCTAACTAGTGTGCAGCAAAGGACTGTCGTTCCATTGATCAGCACTCCCTGGTTCCTAAGACACAGCTCATGGTTGTATGCATTTTTGCAGCCTCAAGATTTCTGGTCCTTTTAATGCTCAGCTCTATTTAACATTCCATTCTTTCTATTTGCCATTTAAATAATTTCCTATGGTTGTTTCTTTCAAATGCTGAGGAAGGTTTTAGACAAGCATATATTGCTGCTTAAATAGTACTCAAGATGTAATAGTGGTATATTGTATTAGTTAAGCCACAAGTATTCTATCACTGATCTATCTCCCTGTGTATTATCCACCCATCCATCCATCCATCCATCCATCCATCCATCCATCCATCCATCTATCTATCTATCATCCACCATGTTTAGGCTCAAATACACACACACATACACAGACACCCAGACATGTACACACACGTATATTATATTTAGGGTAAAATGCACATGCACAGAGGCACACACATACATGATAATCCTGTTATTGTGGGGACAATTCTACAAGGGCTTAAATCATTGCTTAATCTATAAAGGTGTCAAAAGACTATATTCGTTCCTCAGGATCTTGGTCTTTCTCATGTACATGCAGTCATAAAACATATACTTCTCAAGTTTTAAAAATTCAGAGCTCATACCAATCAGAAAAACCTATCTGTGGGGATGGAGTCGTCTGACTGTATTTAAGAAGTGTTTGTGAAAACATTGCTGTTGCTTTCATGATTGTCACTGGCATTGGGGGTGGGCAGTGAGTGATGGAGATGAAAGCCATAGAAAGAGGAAAGGCACTTTGGGGAACAGCCAGGAGCCATCTCTGTGTGCAGCATGCCCATCCCAGACAGGCAAGCTTCAGGACACTGACAAGAGGTCCGGTGCTTCCCGAGTGAATGCAATCCCCAGTCTTCGTTAGAGAGAATCATGACACATCCCCATGGGCACTGCTGGGCTGGGCAAGTCGAAGCGGGCGTAGGGTATTTGTTCCCCCCTGTGGAGCAAAGCTGCCCGGGCTGGAGAAGCCCAGGCCTGGCTGCAGAGGAGTCACTGCCTAGGCTGCGTGGAGGGGTGGGACCAGCTCACATCCTCCAGGTGACCCAGCTCCAGGTATTTAGTCTCATCCAGAGGGGAGGCATGATCTTCCAATGCTTGGAGTTGAAGGAGTTTTGAGCCCCAATGCAAAAGGCTTAGGAAAAGACCTTTAAAAAATCCTCAGCTGCTTCACAGGGACTGGGCTAGCTTGGTGATAGGAATGGCCCCCACAGCCTGAGTTGGAGCTGGCTCTGCCCCAGCTGTGCCGTGTGGCTCTGGAGGGTCGCCTCACACTCCCAGCCCTACTTCTTCCCAGGAAGACAAGGAGGCTGGTGCCCAAGACTCCAGAGGTCCCCCCGACCTGAGTACCATGCCTTTTGTCCCCCTTGGGAAGGCAAGCTCCTTGTGGCTATTAATGCTCTGTGCCCCTCATGTACTCAGAAGCTGGCCTCCCACAGATGCAGGTGGGGCGCCATGGTCCTGTGCTCCGCCTTGAGAGTCAGGTTTTGAGCCTCAGCTCAAGATGCTAGTGTCCCTCTCACAGGGCTGCAGCGAGGACACAGGGTGTTAGAAACTTCCACAAGAGCCCGGCAGGTGGGAGGCTCTTGTGAGGAGGAGCTCCAAGAACCCCGTGGGCTGGGGGCAGGGTGGCCATGAGGGTGGGCACAGCTGTCGCCCTCTGTTGTATTCAAATCGGTAACAATGGGCCTGCCCTTCTGGGAGGGGCTCACGGGTGGTCCCTTAGATTCAGTGGCCCGAGTGCACTGGAAAGGCAGACACCTCCTTGGCTGGACGTCTGGACCATGGACAGAGATCTGAGTGAAGACGACAGTAAGTAGGGCCCTGGAGATCCTGGAGAGGGTAGGGGAGGGGGCACCTCTGCAGCTAGCACTGTCCGCAATCTTCCATCGGCCTAAACACCGCCCCGGGTCTGCGTCTGTGCCCGAGAGCATCCCTTCCTTCCTTCCTTCCTTCCTCTCGCGTGTAAAGCCCATTCGCAGCCTGCAGCCTCTTTGTCCACCGAATGCCTCTGGACCATGGAGAAAGAAGGTAAAAAAAAGATGAAAACTTTTCTCCCCGACTGTGGTGACACCATCCAAGCCTATATTCTTTTTCCTTCCTTCCTCTAGTTGACAGTCCCCCGCAGCCCCCAGCCAAATGTAAGCGTGAATATCAGGATTCTTACTTCAGTGGCAGTGTGGTTCAGTTTTTAGATGAGGTTAGGTTTACAGAAAGGTCCTGAAAAGTCTTTACTCATGATCTTCTTGTTCATTACTGCTCAGGAAACCTATCCCCTGGGGACCCCTTCTTGTCATTACCAGGACAGAAATACAATGGACTATTTATAAACTTGAAGAAGGAAATTATATTCAGGAGGAAATGTGCTATTTTTAGAAAAAGGAGATTTTGGATCCTGAATTTGGAATGGGTGATGTGGTAGTTGGAAAGAGCCTCAGACTGGGAACTGGGGGACTAGGGTTCAAGTCCTCGTTTTCTGTGAGTTGGCTGTGTGATCTTGGACAAGCCACTTAACTTCTCTGACCCTTACTTTCTCTATAAAAGGAGATTGGATCATGAGTTCTTCATGTGAGGACCTTGATGGCATGGGGAAAATGTCATGTGAATGCGCTTTTCAGAGAGTGTGGAGAGAGTCTAAAGCTTTCATCTGAATCCCAAAGAGGCCTGTGACACTAATACATCTCCATAGTCACCGAACTTGGTGACCTGAAAGATCCTTTGCAGATCCAACACTCTTTATTGTCTTTAATGTTAGTGTCTTAAAGCTTTAAGTTTTAGAACTAACCAAAGTAGAACATAAAAGTAATTTATGCTAATCCTACAGAGAGCTCAATTTAAATTTTGTGGGAATCCTTTTTCATATTGACGTGGGAGACTGGAGATATTTTAGCAAGTGTCTGAGGAGGACCCAGTCTGATCTCTGATAGACTGGAAATTGTGTATCCATAGTCTTGTTCTAATAAGCTTTTACTCACATTATAACACAATCTTTTCTCTTCAAAACACCCTGTGTTCATCAGCAGACTTTCAATTTATAATTAGAGTTTCTCTTAGTAGCAATGAACTAGGTCAGATTTGGATTCAAACCCAAGCCCTGCCTCCTAATTGCGGGGCGACTTTGCTCAAGTCACTTAACCTCTGTGAGCTTCATTTCTGCTAATAAAAATGGGGTGTTGTCATCTTGTAGGACTGGTCAAAGATTCACTGGCTATCCCAGAGTAGGCATGGAGAAAATATTGACTCTAGAAAATGATCAGATTATGTCTCCAGAGCTTTAAGAATAAACTGCTACTAATGGAAAGTACTGTCAGCTGTGAAGTTTCTGCTTTAGCTTCATGCCTTTTGGTAAGCAAGGTGAGAACAAGATGGACACTTTAGTTCCCGTGCAATTCGACAAACCCTGATTATGTTATAGGGTTATGGTTTCAAATTCAACGGAACTCAGGTCAGCACTTAGGGTATACTACAAGGTACAGAATCATCCAGAAAAGTTTTTTAGAAATTAGCCATAATAATCAACCACATTGTATATCGACAAAATAAAAATTTAAAGGAAAAAAAAACATTAAAAAAAAAAAGAAATTAAGTTGATGAAATCTGAAACTAGGTAAGTTTTTGTCCAGGTGTCAGACAGGGACCCTGCTACAGGACCTCCATAATTTAAATGTGCCTTTTGGGTGGCTGCCCATTTCATCTAGTTGAGTACCCCTCCTGGTCACTAATGTGTTGTGCCCTCGGTTTTTGGGTCTATCATGTGGGCAGCTTCAGAGAGAGAAAACCTTTCAAAGACACATTTTTGCACCAAGGTATAAATGGATAGGGACCTTCTGGGATGTGGCTCCCATGTGCCAGTCACCTTGAAGGCCTGTTAGCACTGCCACTGTCAGGTGCTGGGATGCCTCTGACAGCATCCCCAACCGGAGCAGCATCTCCCACCGTTGGCTGGGACACTCCCAGTGATGGCCTGACCCCTTGTACAGCTGGCACTGCCCACAGTCCTTCTTTACGTTGAGTCACCATCTTTCTCCCTGGAGCTCCTACTCTTTGGTTTTGATTCTAGGCCCCTGGGCTACTCAGAACATGTCTCTTCCTTCTTTAAAATAAGAGCCATTAGAAGACTTTTCTCAGGGCCAGCCCGGTGGCGCACTGCTACAGTGCGCCGCTTGGGAGCGAGGCGGCGCTCCCGCCGAGGGTTCGGATCCCACATACAGACCGGCCGCTCACTGGCTGAGCGAGGAGCGGGCGCTACACCGAGGGTTGCGATCCCGTTGCCGGTCCCGGTCCAGTACGGGCGCGACACTGAGGGTTGCTATCCGTTGCCAGTCACGAAAAAAGACAAAAAAAGGAAAAAAAAAAAAAAAAAAAAAGAAGAAGACTTTTCTCTAGCTTAACCAGATCCTATTTCTTCAGTGGCCCCAGATGAAGTGTAGTTTTAATCCCTCCTCTTTGAGTGCAATGTCCTACACAGAGCAGAAGAGGAACAGTCCTCTCCCGTATTCCATGTACTATATCTCTTGTAATATGACTTCTTTTATTGCAGACTGAAACCCCTCCCAGAAGTGGTGAGCAAGAGCCTCTTCAAGTAAGATGGGCTATCACTAGACCCCATGGTAATGTTAGGAGGGGGCTTCTCTGGTGTAAGACTATAACACGCAGGTTGCACCTCCTTACTCCCGGGCATTGGTCCCTGTGGAAGGGGAGAGGATTGAGCTCATGAGTGAGAACCCTGATCTGAGGCCACACCACCATCACCATCAATGGCTCAGTGCTGAGGAGAGGGGACTCTCCCCTTGTACCCAGGCCGGCTCTGCTCCCTAAAGTTTTATTTATGAAAGTGCCCCCCTCCCACCAAGCTCTGAGTTGGAGATCTGAGACTGAGGCTGTTATGATGTCTTGGTGGAAAGGTTGCTGGACTTCCTGGCAGGGGTCCAGCTGCCAAGACCCATGGTGACTGAGCATGGGGTCTGAGCATTTTCCACATGTCCCTTAGGATGGAACACAGCCATCAGGAACCACAGTCTTCCCCGTTGGATTTGCCCTGGCCTCACGGACCCATCCAGTCTTTCCCACAGGCTGCCACATTGCTGGAAGGGGATGGCAGGTCCAGTAACCCCTAATGGAAAGATACAGCGTCTACACTGGGGAGTGTATAAGAAATGAAAAGCTTTACTGAAATCATATTCTTCTTAGAGAGGATCCCAAGAGCTCTCTGGAATCAGTTTCCAGAGCCCTCTCTTATCTATTGTCCCAGGCGTTCCTTTCAGTGACTGTACTACCTGGGCCCTATTTATTTCTTCTTAGGGAAGATAAATCAAGGCCCCCCAAGAAGTGATTTCCTCTCGAGACTACATAGCAGGCTTGGTATTTTGTGCTGTGTTCATGGCTGCGGGAGAGGGGATGAACAAAACAGTGACCTACCCTCAGGGTGCTCCAAGTCTGGTGGGGGTGCAGGTCCCACATTGACTTTTTGCAAGTATTCTTATGAAGCCATTTGGCAAAAGCAACAATAGAGAGGAGGACAGAGTACTCAGGGGTGGGGGGGGACCACACCCAGGCAGGCTTTGGGGGCACTGAGGTCTGGGCCGAGTCAGTCAAACTGAAGGGGATGCCTGGGGTACCAGGGGCAGGGACAGCCAGTGCAAGGATGGGGATTAATGGCCCAGGGTGTGTGTGTGAGGGTGAATACAAGTGCCAATGTCACAAAGTCACAAGCTGTCTCTGGAAAGGCAGCAACAGCTCTTAGAAAGCCCAGCCCCGGGATGGCTCTATCCTTGCATGATGGTGTTTTCTATAAAGCACGAATTTCACATCCCCAATAATTGAAAAACAATTGCAAATAACAATTTAAGTCAAAAATTGCAGTGTTTGCTGTGCTCTCTCTAGGCACAGCAGGGAGCCTCCACAACTCAGTGAAATTTCTCCCAGGTTGTCATCCCCCGTTCCTCTTGATGTCGGTCTCACCACATGGTGGGCATTTGCTGCCCCAAATATTTCTTCAGTGGCTCCCACCCCAAAGCAGCCACCTTCTCTCTGCAGCCTCAGGCAGGCTCGTCTTGCTCCCCTTCCCCCTTTCTGCTCTGTCCTTCAGCTCCACTGCCACCCCCTCCCTCAGCTAGCTGTCATCCCTTCTCACACGCTGGTCTGGACAACACTGGAAGGCTTTTCCCTGGCATGAGGGCAGACATGGGGCAAGGGCAAGTCATGTAGGGCCTTACCTGCCAAGTTCAAGGGTCTGAATTTAACCATGGGTAGTAGTGAGCCACCGCAGTGTTTGGGTGTGACATGGTCAGGTTTTCTGTCTGGTCTTAAGGAAGTCCCTTAAATAGTGTAGCCAATTATTTGTTTGCTCGTTCTTCGTGGCAAACAGAACTTTCTTTTTTTTTAATCTTACAATCACTGGAATCTCTCCTTTTCTCTCCTTAAAGTTATTTTCATTTGTGGTAGAATACACATAATATAACCTTTACTATCTCAACCATTTTTAGGTGTACAATTCAGTGACATTAAGTTCATTCACATTGTTGGGCAACCATCACCACCACCCATCTCCAGAATTCTTTTTATCTTGCAAAACTAAAACTCTGAACCCATTAAACCATCCCTCTCCCCCCAGTCCCCAGCAACCACCACTCTCCCTTTGTCTCTATGAGTTTGAGCACCGGAATCTCTCTTCCACCATCTTAAGAACAATTCAAATCATAAGGCATTTATGCACACCAACTGTGTGGACACCTGTTAGGTGCTTTGTGGGCCTAACACTTATATGTGCCTATTGTATGCCCACTCTTTGTTGGGATATACAAGAGACAGGGGTCCCTGTCCAAAAGTCACATGTATACCTGTTGAAGGAGACGAGATATGAAACAAATTAAGGTAAGATGGCAGTGGGGGAGCCATCAGAGCATAATTTCCATGCTTTTAAGGTGATTAATTTGGAATCAAGGGCAAAGGACATGGATTCCTTTTATCATCTGAAGTAAAGGGAATGCCATATTAAAAAGAGAAAATTAAAGGGGTTAATCATAACTTTTCCTTCCTCCATAACGAAAACTCCTTCCTATACAAATGAAAAGTAGCCTGTGGCAGGTGAGCAGAAACTCTGCCTTGGTGACTCTCTTTGCAAAGTTTTCTCAGCAGCCACTTGACGCTGTTTGCATGGAGGAGCCATGGGGAGTTCAGATGTGTAGAAGGTCACTGGGCATGGAGTCAGGATCTGGGTTTTGAATACTATTTCTACCTGTGCTGTGAATGTGTGAGCTGGTTGCCCAAAATCACATCTCTGAGCCTCATTTTGTTCTTCTCAGAAATGGGGATAACTGGTTGTTACGAAGGGCAAAAGAGATCATGGCTGCAACATTCCTTTCCGAGCCACAGGATGCAGTGTGTGTATTAGGGTGTGGTGGCCCAGCTGGACAACTGCCCTGAAAAGCTGCCCCAACACCATGGGAACAGTGAGTCGGTTGGTGGCCCCCTTCTAAGTGCCCCATGCTGGGTGTCACACAATGCCCAGTGACGTCCATGTTCCTGTTGTGCCCATCGAGATCTGCATAGGAAATGACGCATCCTCCTGTGGTTCAGCCTGGAGTCTCTTACTTTTGTGTGTAACATAATGGTGAGATGAATTTAGCTCTGACGGATGCGGCTGTCCCGAGAGGTCAGGGTGGCTCCCAGCTGATGGATGGAGCTCTGAGTTCCCCACCTCCCATTCTGTCCCTCTTCCTGCCCCTTTGGTTTGGTCTCCAGCAGGACATCACAGCCACGTGGCATTTCCCCGTATTCCTGTTGAGGGGAGTAATGATTGATGTCCCAGCAGGTGGGGCGGGGGCCCTCCCAGGGGAGCCGGCCATGATGATCTTTCTGTCTATGCTTGACGTTTTGTACTGTCATCTCCTGGTTTAAGGGAGCACAGAGAAAGAGGAAGATCCACCCTCCTCAGGTCCGAGGCACTGACTGGCTGGGCACGGGATGGAGGACTGTGCTCCCATTGTCTCATGAGGTGGGCACTAGTGTCATCGGCTCCTTTCATAGATGGGAGAGTTGAGTTCTGCAGGGATGTGTGACTTGCATGGTGTCGTGACTTGCATGGTGTCATGTCTTACACGGCAGAGAGCCCAGCCCGGGTCATGTGTCAGAGCCGGTGATCCTCACCACTCCGTCTCTGGGTACTGACTGCAGTTACCCTGGCTACTGTCCAGCCCTGACCTCGATCTTTAATTCTGATAACTGGGCTCACAGGAACTGCAATGGACAGGCATGGGCCCCGGTCCCAGAAAGGCTCATCTTCTGGCCTCCACCTCTCTGCCCCTTAAACTCCTCCCCACAGGTGAGTGTCTATATCAGGGGTGCAAAATATGGCTTGAGGACCAGATCTGACCCACTGCCTGTTTTCATAAATAAAGGTGTATTGGAACAAAGCCACACTTATTCAATCTTGTATTGTCTATGGCTGCTTTCATGCTACAATGGCTGAGTTAAGTAATGGAGACAGAGAGTGTATAGACTGCGGGGTCTAAAATATTTACTACCTGGCCCTTTACAGAGAATGGTTGCCAACCCCTGGGTCCCTGGTGGCTAAAGTAGCTTTGAATGCTTATAAAGTCATTAGAATCAAAACAGTGTTGAGAACCAAGGCATTAATAATAATTCCAGATGAATCATCACATTGGGGGCTTCAACACACCATAGGTGGCATCGATTTGAAATTTGGGATGATGTCACTTTGCATCACAGCCACATCTCTCCCAGGTCTCTCGCTGTTTCCAGGCAGAACCATCTACTCACAAAGGCGAATTTACCTGCTTAGAAAGGCTCTCTCTGCATCTACAGACCTTCTTCAACCCACCTTCCTTTGAAGGTTTCCAGCAAGGAGAAAAAAACCTTAGAGATGCAGACGGTATTTCTCGTTGTCAGAGGACAGGGGCATTCCTAATTTGGGAGGGGGTGGCAGCAGGGGTTGTTCGCTTGTCTTATCCACAGACCCTCTTCCCTCTACTGTTCTCGGCCACGTATTTTGCGATTCCAGGTTCCTCACCCCCTGACATCTCCACTTCCAGATCAGCCTAGGTTCCTCTCACTTAGAACAAGAGGTGCTGCTGCTTCTGGCTTTTGTTTTTATCAAATTTGAAAGGATAGGATGTACTATTTTTATTTTTCTGGAGGTAAAGAGCTAGAGACTTTAAAGAGAGGCCCCCCATAAAGGGTGTAGGAGATGGGGTGTGTCGGCAGGAAGTCTGTCGCGAGTGCAATGATGGGGGCAGGAAGGGCCACTTCCACTGACCACTTCACAGCTCCCCTTTCAAGTCAACTCCCCTCATGCTTTCAAGTCAGAGCCTAAGGATTCTTCCCCAGGATAAGGGCTTGTGGGAACAGTTTTGAGGGGTGGTCTGGAACTGGTAAGGAGCCTTTATCCTGCTCTACCTCCATGGCTGTGTGACCTAGGGATACTCTCTGAGCCTCTGCCTTCCATACCTGCAGGTGGGAGGGTGGGGGAGGCAACAGTGTGGGGAGGTGCTTCGCGAGATGTCCAGTGCTGCAGGGGGCCAGCTCTTCTGGGGGCTTTCCTCATTGGACTTGCAGGGCCATCTCTGTCTATGTCACACCTGACAGGTCAGGATGAGGCTTTCAGAACAGATATGTAGGGAGTAATTTTTCCATAGGGCTTTGCCTCATGAAAAGGACTCGGAATGAACATGAGCTGTGGAGTCAGACAGGACTCATTTTGAATCCAGCCCCACCAGACCTTGCTGGTTGTATAATCTTGGGCGAGTCACAACCTTTCTGAGCCTCAGTTTCCTCACTGGTAGAATTGGGGGTAGTGTTAGTGTGTCAGTTTGAGTCATCCAAGAAGCAGACACCAACATAACATTAGATGGTCAAGAGGATCCTGGAGACACCTGCAGAGGAAAAAGGGGAGGGAATGTCTTCAGACTGCATTGGGACGGACACCTGTGAAGGGAGGCGGGGAAGGAAGGAGACTGAGGAGGAGGAGTCCCACACTGTGGTGTGATTCTCAGAAAGTCTTGGTCAGGTTTGTGGGGAGTCCCAGAGCAAAGATTTCCCAGTAGAAGCTACATAACAAACTAACCCACATCTCGGTGCTTTAGAACAACAATTTTATTATGCCTCATAATTTGGGGGTAAGGAATTTGGGCAGGACTCAGCTGGAAGATTCTTCTGCTCCAGGTGATATGGATTAGGGTCACTCAGTGGTATTCAGCAGTGGCTGGTCTGGCTTGGAGGTCCAAGATGGCTTTGCCTACATGCCTGGTGGCTTGGTGGGGACGGCTGGAAGGTAGGCCTGTCTCCATGTAGTCTTAGCGTCTCTCCCCATGGACTCTCCAGCCTGACTTCTTACAGCTCAGGGCTCAAAGGCAAGTGCTCCGCAAGGCAAGAAGTAGAAACTGCAGTCTCTTAATTCCTTCCGCTGTATTTTCTTGGTTGAAGTAGTCACATGTCTGCATAGGTGCAAGGGAAGGGGAACATCCAAGAATGTGTGGCCATCAGTAACTCAGCACAGCATGTACATCCTAGAGTCGTGGAACGTAATCATGCCTGTAAAGCACCTCTCACGGTGGCTGGCACAGAGTAGGAGCCCAGCAAATAGGAGCTGCTGCTCTTAATGCTGTTCTTGTCATTGCTGTTACTGCTGCTGCTACCACCACCCCCACCCGCCCTGCAGATGTGTCCTGTGTCCCAAGGATGCCCGAGCGAGGCTGGCTTAATCTGTGAGGCTTTGTGTAATGCACCCGCCCTCATGTTTTAGCTTCTTCCTCCCTCCCCAAGACTCAGGACTGCCTGTCTTTCCGCAGGTGTGGTGGACCTCAGTTTCGAGGCTGACAGTCCTCTGGCGCCCCCCACCGAACTCCTGGAGAGACTGCCCAGCTACGACTGGATTCTGCAAGGTGGCGGTAAGTCCATGGGGCCTTGGTTCCTGCGGCCTCTTCCCGGGGTTCATGCTGGTTGGTGGGGATGCCTCTGGAACAGGTTGGTGCTGAGATCGCTCCTCTTTACTTTGGGGGGGGGCTGGAAAGCCCCTTGTCATGGCTGGTTGGGATAGGGAAGAGCTGGGGCATGGGCCCCATGCTCATGAACATTTCCTCTGAGATCCGGATGACACTGGTCTTGGAATCCCCATTCTTTTTGCAGTAGACGCCTCAAATGCATCATTCTTTTCCCTCATCAGTTCCTTCTCACATTCGGTCAGTCTTTCCTTCTTTCACCCCACAAGTATCTGTTCCTTTGAGCTGGGCTGTCCAGCCCATGACTCTATCCTCTCCTCCAGGACGGCAGATATTCTTCCCACCTTCGGAGGCTCCAGGGAGGCCCCAGGAACAAAGGTCCTGGTCCTCGTTCCTGGAACACAGGTGAGTTTTGGTTGTGCTCTGGGGACCCCGAGTGTTTCCACACAACGCTGTTGCCCCACGAGAGCCCTCCTGGGGGATTTCAACCCTGACAGTGTGTCAGTATCCCAGCCCAATGGGACCAGATTCTCCAGGGACGGGGCCTGGGAATCTGCATTTTACCAAGCTCTTCAGGTTGTTTGGCTACAAAGCCAGGGCTGAAAGCCATAGTCCAGATCAGGGGTTGCAAACTCCTGCCTGTGGGCCAAATCCACTTTACTGTCTGCTTCTGCAAGTAAAGTTTTATTGGAATACAGTCATGCTCATTTTTTTGTGTATCATCTATGGCAACTTTTGTGCCACAACAGCAGAGTTGGGCACAACAGCAGAGTTGAGTCAGAAACTGTGTGACCCACAGAACCTAAAATATTTACTATCTGGCCCTTTGCAGAAGTTTGCCAACCCCCTGGAGAGAACCACACCTTCCTTGTTTGGAGAGGATTTGGGGCAGAGCTAGGGGTTTCCAGCCAGCTTTGTACAGACAGAACCTGGAGCTGCCCCCTTTCTGGGTGCAGCCTCTCAGTGGGGTTCACTGTGCCTGCCTGAGAGGAGCCTCCTGGGTGCTCCTGGCCCTGCTGCTGCTGGAGGCGCCTCCCCTCTCCTCCCTGGCCGCCCACCTTCCATGCCCAGTGCAATCCCCACTTCCCCTGTGGAGCCATCTCCAGCTACTCCACCCTGTCCACAGGCATGCAGGTCCCTCTGTGCAGTGGCCTGGCAGGTGCTGGTGACACTAGCATGTATGAGTTAGTGGGTCAGTGGTTCTCTCAGGACTGCTGTAGAGAACACAAGAAATGCGAGGTGGGAGGATGGAGGAGAGGATTCCTTTTTACTGGAGATGTTGGGGCAGGAAGAGCTTCACTAAAAGGTGGCATGGCCTCAGGAAAGAGGGGTTTTCCAGGAGGAGCAGGGGAAGCATCCAGAGGGAGGGCCTGGAGAGGCCCCGAGTCTGGCTTCCCACCCCTCGTCCTCAGGGTGAGTCTGTGGGTGCCCCTGCGGCCCACTCTCTGCTGGGGTCTTCCTGGCCATGTTGCTCACAGCTCCTCTGGTCAAGGTCAAGTTCTCTGAGGGCAGGAACCTCATCCAGCCCATCTCTGCCTCCTTCTAACTGTGTGACAGCCTCTCTGTACCTCAGTTTTTCTCATCTGTAAAATGGTGTAACTCATCTGTACGTTTTTTTCTTTTTTTTTAAACTTTCGATTCCATCAGCTCCTCTCCTGAGCTCTATGCTTCTGCTAAGGTGGTTTTGCTGTCCTCTGGCTGGAAAGACCTGCCACTCGCCACCCTGGGCATTTGTTCACACGGTTCCCTTTGCTGGAGGTGCCCTTCCCTGTTGGGGCTTTTCCACTGCTGTGGTCCTCTGGCCTCTTCCTTTGTGTATGGGCCTCAGTTTCCCACATGCACATTGAGGAGGCTGGCTGGCCTGGATGAGCCCACAGGCCCTTCCCTGACCCCTTCTCGGTTCTCAGAAGAGTCCCCACGGTGACAGAGGAGGTGGCCCGTGAAGCCCTCCTCGGCTTTGTGAACTCTAAATGCTGCTATGGCAGTGCAGCAGCTGGCAACCTCACCATCCGGGAGCTGAAGCAGCAGACCCTCTGCAGGGTAAGGGGGCCGGGCCTGGGGCTGGGCCTAGCTGAGGGGCTGGGGACCGGGGTGCTGGGGACTTTGGGACAGAGAGGGGTGTGTGGGATGTGAGCCAGGGGGAAGGAGTCCCGGGGGGCAGTGCATGTGAATGGTGGTGATGCTGAACCCCTTCTGCCACTGGTCTGGTCCGAGGCTGTGAGTAATAATGAAAAGAGTAAGTATCGTTGATCGTCACCGACAGGCCCGCATGTGCGAGGCTTTATGGAAAGTACGTGACGCACACGTCTTGTCCAATCCTCACAGCTGCCCTACATGGTAGGCGTTATAGTCCCCACACTACAGAGGAGGAATTGGAAATTTGGAGAGGCGGAGCTACTTGCCCAAGGACATGCAGCTGGAAGTGATGGGGCCAGGACTGAAACTGGCTTGCTAGCCCCAAGGACACAGGAATGAGGGATGGGCTGAGAACGTCCATTTACTCCCCTCCACTCCAGCTGCCTCTGCCTCTCCCAGATCGCATCTGTGCCAAGGAATCCTTCATTGATCACTCCAGGGAAATCCCACCTCTGGCACCCAGATCACAACAGGCACTTCTCTGTCCTTCTGAAATGACAGGGCAGAGGAACAGCTCTTAAGTTCACATTTTCAAGTGTTGCTGACACAGCTGTCCTCTGATGAGCACACAGTCACACAGACATCGGAGAGCCTCGCAGGTAGTGGTTAGAGCAGAGATCTGAAGTAGCCACTTTGCAGCTGTGTGACCATGGGCAAGTCAACTGACCTCTCTGATCCTCCATTTCCTCACTTGTAAAAGGAGGAGCCAAGTGGTGTCCAAGATCCCTTCCTGTTCTGTGACTTTGTGGACGAGCATCATGAAGGAGGATCTTGACATCAGGCAGCTAATTTTCTCCAAAAGAGAACCCCAAGAGAGTGAATTCCAGTTGCCTCCATCCATCAAAGGGCAACTAGTGCTCCAAAACTTGCCTTGTAGAATGTTTCTATGTATGAATTCATGCGGAACTAAAATTGCTCCAGTTGTGAACCTGCCAGGGGAGGTTCCTGGGGCTGGCTGATCCTGCAGATGTCCTGGGGCATCTGGAAGAGAAGTCGCTCTTGCCAGCCTGTTCCAAGCAGTCCAAGGGTGCTATGAGTGGGAATGTTTGGTTTTCCCACTGAGCCCTGGCCGGTGGGGAGCTCCAACTTTCTACATGATTCTCTGCCTTCAAAAAGGGCACGAGTGTGAACATGCTGTTTTTCTTTACAGTATCGACTAGAGACCTTTAGCGAATCCAGGATAAGCGAGTGGACCTTTCAACCCTTTACTAGTAAGTGAGTTGTCTGAAATCAGTTTAGTTGGGAGCAAATAGGGAAGGGGGCTGGTGGAAAATGTCAGGACTTGGCTCAGCCACTAACCTTGAATAAGGTGCTCTTCTGCTTGGAGCCTCAGTTTCCCCATCCCCTGTAAAACAAGAGGCCAACTTTCATCTCAGAGACTCTCCAGTGCTCATCTTAGGACATGCTTCCTGCCCAGGAAGTGGTTTGCAGGAGGACCTAGCTTTTGTCTCTGGCCACACGCTGGTGCTGCCACATGGGGCCAGACTGCAAAGTCAGTATGTGTGCTTGGGCATCTGCCTGCCTCCCATGCTCCCATGTCAGCCCCAGTGTCCCCTAAGTCTCCAGACCCCTGGACTCCCTGTTTACTGTGCCATACCCCCTTCTGCTGAACCCCACTCGAGGCTTAAGGTTCTCTGTCTGGGAAGCCCTTTGTCCTACCTGTTCTCTCTGCTGGGCTACTCTGGTTCCTTCTTCAAGACATGTCGCCTTTTTTATGAAGTCCTCCAGAGTTTCTTCTCTCGCTGCCTCTCTCCCCAGCGGATGGGTCGGTCTTCTCTAAGTGTTCCGAGCCCTTTATGCAACTCTGGTGATTGTGATTGTACGCTGTGATTGTCTCCTCGAACACAGGAGGAGAAAGAGGAAGAAGATGGGATGGTGAGGGGGATGGTGATAATAATGACAATAGTTCTTTGTACTGACCCCTCAGTACATGCCAGCCCTTGTGATCAGCATTTTCTATGCATTCTTCTATTTAATTTTCACTACCATTCTGTATGATAGGTGCCACATTATCCCCGTTTTAGAGATGAGAGAATTAAAGCTCAGAGAGGTTAAGTAACTTGTCTGGAATCACACAGCTAAAAAGTAGAAAAGCCAGGAGTATAGCCCAGGTCTGCCCAACTCTAAAGCTTGAGTGCTGAGCCATGGACTCCAGGGCACCCCTTCTCTACCCACCCCTGCAGCTCTAGGATCTACACTAATTCCTGGCACCACGTGAAGGCTCGGTGCTGTTTGTTGAATAATTGGACGTTTATCCCTGCGGCGCTTTACTGTTCTTACGAGGATCCCTTTCTGTGTCAGACCACTCAGTAGATGGGCCACAGAGAGGCACCTCCCCCAGGCTCTGGGACATCAAGGTCCAGGTCCCCCCGATGTTTCAGGAAGACACCAGGAGGTTCCAAGTCCCTCACTCATCACTGGTCAAGGTAACGTGAATATTGGAATATCTGCCCTTCTTCTCTCTGAGCTGGTTTTCCAGGCATTGCATAAAGATTCTTCAAACTTTATCCTTTTAAGAAGGAAACCCCAAATCCAAGCTAGTGGTTCATTTTATGTTTGTAAAAAAACATCATTTAAGAAAACCCAGTGTATGCAAATTAAGCAGTGAGTATTCATGTAGCATAAAGACTATCCCATTCAAAAAACTGTCACCAGCTTTAAATAGTGAGCAGTAACATTTCTAGACCATTTGAATGTTTTTTATCTTTTATTTTTTGCCTGTCAGTAAACGGCCTGATGGAATGAAACTGATATGAAATAAAAAGTTAGAACCTTGTTGGGATTTTCCATGGAAGTCAGTGTGAAAGCAGAATTTGATCTCCATTCTGTTTTACAGAAATACATTCATGGCATAAAGTGAGGGAAAACTAGTGTATTACAAAAGCATGATGGACATTTTATATTCTGTTCTCATTTAATTGCTGCCTTATTTTCACTTTAGGACTTGATTCACGAGTGTAGTTTTACTCCGCATGTTTTCAGAGTTGTGAGATGAAGAGAACGTTGAGAGACTGAGGAGGTGCTCTGTTCCTTTCTCGAGGGTGGAGAAGCTGCTTTGATTCAGTGATTCGGTTCTAGCAGCTAGCCTGGTGTTCTTCACAAAAACGCTGTCCATTTTGTACAGCTTCTGTTCCCAAAGTCCACTTTAGCTACCCCGTGGGCAAACGCCATCAGCCTCCATGGTTTAGCCTTGCAGGAAACTGCAGAGTGTGAGTTAGGATGTGGGACCTTGAGAACACGTGTCCCCTTCTTAGCATCCAGGACGGATGGGGCTGAGGCTCAGGGAAAACGGTGACACCATCTCCTCAACTCAGCATTCAAGGTTTTAGGACTCCCAGTCAAATGGCAAAGGCTTTTCCTTCCCTGTACCATCTTCCTACCTGGCCCTGAACCGCTGCCACTCAATTTGAGATGGTGACATCATGGGGGTAGGAAGGGTGGCACTTGGGAAATTAGATCCATGGAGAGCATTTCACTTTCAGGAATGTCACAAATGCCATGGGCGTGGGCGGTACAAGTGCAGCGGCTGCCATGGGGCAGGTGTGGTGAGTCATTGAAGGCCACTGGGGAGTAAGTGGTGATGGGGGAGGGGGACACATGGGGCTGGCTGTGGGCCTGGGCTCCCTGCACTCATGGTGTGACCTCCAGCAAGTCATCCTCCCTTCTTGGCCTCCATTTTCCCATTTGTAAATGGGAAAGTTGGATTGGGTGGTCTCTAATGACCCTTTCACTTTGATGGTTTATGATTTTAATTCGTCTCCCCTTTTCTCATCCATTCAGCATTAGGACTTAGAACAGGACTAAGACGTCGGGTCTCTCCCACCAGGAACTCCTTGTTTGTGGGGGAGACCGACAAGTGGCCAGCATGTGTAGTACAGGTGGTGGGTGACGAGAAGGTGAAATTCGGAAGGCTTTGAGAGACAAGATAGACAGGAGACTCCTATTCGTCTCCTAGCACTGCTGTAACAAATTGCCACAAACTGGTGGCTTAAAACAACAAAAATTTATTCTGCAGAACTGTAAGCTCTGGAGGGCAGAAGTTCAAAACCCAAGAGTGGGCAGGGTTGGTTCTTCCAGAGGCTCTGAGGCAGGAGCTGTCTGGGCCTCTCTCCAGTTCCCAGCCGCTGCCAGCAAGCAACGGTCCTTGGCTTGTGGCTGCATCACTCCAGTCTCTGCCCCCATTGTCACCTGGCCTTCTTGTGTGTGTCTTTTGTCTTCACATGGACTTCTCATAAGGACACCTGGCATTGGATTTAGAGACCACCCTAGTCTGTATGAGAGTGTATGACCTCATCTTAACTAATTATGTCTGCTAAAACTATTTCCAAATAAAGTCAGTTCTGAGGTTCCAGCGGACTTGAATATGGGGGGCATGGTATTCACTCCAGTATGGACCCCTAAGCAGACGGCTAGGCTTTTGTAGCATGAGTCTTCTTTGCAGAAACCTTCAGGGCTATTAACGTCCTGGGGAATAAGGCCCAACTCCTATGTTCTTGGCTCTCCCGGTCTGAGCCTGATCCTCTGGACACACACTGGCCCCCTGCCACTCTGAACCGTGTCTTTCTCTGTCCTTCTCTCTGCCGGTCAGCCCTTCTACCCTCTGGTGGCCTGCTCTCCACCTGTGGATGCTCATGCCCACCACTCACGCCCCATCTGTGGGGCCCGGCGGTGGCCTGAGCCTGGCTTCTCCCTCTCCCCTCCTGCGCCCTCTGTCCTGCCATTTGCCTCCTTGTGGCTTTCCCAGGGCCTGTCCCCGTGGTCTTTTCTGTTTCTTCCTCCACCCCCTGCTGCTGTCCACCCTCCCCCGCCACCTTTTAGGTTTTCCCTGCAATGTCTCCAGAGCTCACCCTGACTGATGGTGGGACCACAGCCTGGGCCTCCTCTGGGGCCACTTCCAAAAAGGAGCTTCCTGTCCCCAACACCAAGTCCCTGGCCAGCGGCTCCTCTCCCTGCTGTCTCTTGATGCTTGGCCGGGGGAAGTTCTCAGGGTCATGGGGATCAGAGAGGAAGCAGGAGGGGCTGATGTTTCAGAAGAAACAGGGATGTCAGGACGTGGAGTCTTCGAAAGCTACAACTGGAAAGGCCCAAAGATACCACCACATCCAGCCCTCCTCTTTGCAGATGAAGGGGCTGAAGCCACGGGGGAGGAAGTGTCTTGCCAAGGTCGCCAGGCTGGGATCAGAAGGAGGTCACGGGAAGCCCTGGGTCCACTTCCTGGGAGGCCCGTGGGGGCTGAGGCTGTGGCATGTTGCAGGTAAGGTGCTCGTCCTGCAGCGGAGCCAAGCGCAAGGCCAAGCAGCCCCGGAGGTGCCAGATGTGCTCGGGGTCTGGTAGGCGCAGGTATGAGCGGGTCTCCCCAGCATGGGCGAAGTGCTCTTGCTTACTGGCCTTCCTGCTTTTCATTGTCCGCCCATCTGGAAGGCCAGCGGGTGTCCTGGCTCTTCACTGCCATGTCATTGAGCCCTGTGCACAGCAGGTGCTCTGCGGCTGTTCATAGAGTGGGTGAGCTTTTCTCCAGGCCTGGCGTTTTGGGCAAGCCCAGAGCTCATCAAGCGATAACAGGTCAGGTGTGAGGAAAGAGGTGGCACAGGGAGGAACGGGGTGGGGAGGGGCTCTCGAGGAGGGGACACCTCTTCCTGCCCACGTGGTAGGGAAGTGAATATTGAAAACCACCTAAAGGCAAGATTCTCAACTCTCTGAGGATCAGGTCCTGGACAAATCCCTGTGTATAACTCATAGCAAGGCCTGCGTGGAGGAGGGTTGAGGAAAGTTGGTTGATCAACGAAACAATTAGCAAAGCTCCATCTCTGCTCACAGGGCTTTGCAAACAGTGGGCCACTTCATTTTGTAAATCGTGTCCTTTAACATATTTATAAATCTTTGAAGGGAGACAGGAAACCATGAGGAATGAAAGTGCTTAAAGTTGGGTTGGTTAATGATACTTCTGGCTCATTGAAGCCCGGGGCAACCTTCTGACAAGTCAGAAGGTAAAGCTTTGGTGTACCTTCCAGCAGGGATGGAAAGAGGATCTTTGGAAAGAAACTCAGATTTCTTCCATTTGCAAGTGAAAGAGATCCAATTCAAACTAGCTTTGACACAAAAGTTCACTTATAGGCTCAGGTAACAATAAAATCAAGGGGTGTATTTCCAGGATGGCTTCAGGCCCAGCTGGATCCAGATGCTTAAACAGTATCACCGGATATCTTTCTCCTCCCTTCATTCTACTTTCCTTCGTGTTGGCTTTATTCTCAGGCTGGCTGTCTCCTGTAGAAGTGGAGTGACCACTAGTTCCTCTTGGCTTAGTATCCCCAGTAGAAAAGGAAGCCTCTTTCCTGAAGTTCCAACAAATGTCCTGGGGCAGATCTCATTGCATTCTCCTGGGTCATGTGCCCATCTTTGTATCAGCCACTGTGTCCAGGGAGATAAGATGATTGGCCAGGCTGAGATCCCAAGCTGGTTGCAGAAGGGGTTGGGGGCAAGCCCAAGAACCATGTGGGCTGGGTGGGGGAAGGGTGGTCCCCAGTGGGATACTGGGGCCCAGCCACCACAGGAGGGAGGACTAGATGACCAGCAGGGGAACACATACATGACCACCATAGCCCACCCCCATGAGGAAGGATTTGGGGCTGGGGGCCTCTGGAAGCCCCTGGGTCCCTGTGACCAATCTGAGGGTACTGACCGTGTGTCCCTCTCAGGTGCAGCACGTGCTCAGGGAGGGGGAACAAGACCTGTGCCACCTGCAAGGGGGAGAAGAAGCTGCTGCACTTCATCCAGCTGGTCATCGCATGGTACGTGGCAGTGTCTCAATGCTGTGGCCTGGCCAGGGTGGTCAGGGACATGGCCAGTCAGGTTTCTGCCGAGAAACTCTACTTGGTTGGGGCTTTCATGGTGCAGGGACCTTCCAGGACTTAGAAGGGGAGAGATCCCTGGGAAGAGGCAGCGGCGGGATGCCGACAGGCTTCAGAATAGACAAATCTGAGTTCAAATTCCTATATCACCACCGTCTGGTGCAGGAGCCACCCAATAGCTGAGCATGCCAGTCTGGAAACAGAGCCATTGTGTCCTCCTCCACCCCTAAGTCACCAACGTTCCCATACAGGATGGTTTCTCCTGTGCAGCACCTTGCTAAGTGCTTTGAAATGAGGTAATAGGACTGGGCTGTCAGTATCCTTTACTAGCTTCCCATTTTACAGATAGGCATGCTGAGGCTCAGAGAGGGTTATGAACTTTCCCAAGGTCCCACCAGCCCTCATGCCCAGGTCTGTCTGCTTCCAAAGCCCATGTTCTTACCCCGACACCCTGCGTGCTTGTGCCCCCATCTGCTTTACTTCCAGGAAGAACAGCCTGTTCGAATTTGTGTCTGAGCACCAGCTCGATTGCCCTAGGGAGCTCCTTGCTAAAGCCAAGGGAGAAAACCTCTTTAAGGATGAAAACTTGATGGTAAGGAGGGCTTTGTGGAGGGGAACAATAGAAGCCAGGCTCCTCCTCCCCTCCTGTGGGGTGAGTTGTGGCTGTCTGTGGGGGCTGCATTCATTTGGAAGGACAGGCTGCGGTAGGGGGTGGGGAATAGAGCTGCCCAGGAAGGAAAGGCTGCTGGAACGTGTGGGGCTGCCAGTTCCCCCTTGAATTTCACACACTCAACCCTTCGTCCCTTTCTCCCACCCTCTCACCCTCTTTTCCTCTCTCCCTCACTCCCCTCTTCCTCCTGCAAATCTTGAGACCCTCCCCTATACCAGGCACTCTTCTAGGCCCTGGGGATACCACAGCAAACAAAACAAAATCCTTGCCTGAGTAGATTTTGCAGGGCCATTGGGAAACACTGAAGCAGGGTAAGGGGACAGGCAGGGGGACAGGCAGGGATGGGGTGTTGTTGCAGCTGGGGGTGGGGAAGACCCCTGTGGAAGGGACGCTGGGCAGAGACTGGGATGCAGTGGTACAGTGGGGGAGTGGACCACGTGGTCACCAGAGTGAGGGAGCAGCAGCAGTGAGCCGCAGCAGGAGAGACGCCTGCTCCTGATGAGGGAGGGGCCTCTGGGCGTGGGCGAGGTCAGCAAACCGGCCCACCACATGCTTTTATGCATAAAGTTTTATTGGAACACAGCCTTGTCCATTTGTTTACATATTGTCTGAGGCTGCTTTCTTGCTACAGGGGCAGAGCTGAGTAAGGACAGGCTAGATGGCCCACAAAGCCTAAAATATTTAGCTTTTGGCCCTTTGCATAAAAGGTCTGCTGACCCCTGATGTTGGCCTTGGCAGAAAACTTGGCTGCAATGGGACTTCTGGGCTTCCAGGAGAACTTGGCTGCAATGGGATTTCTGGGCTGTAGGGAGGGGTGCTTGGCCTACTTTCTTTGCCCCAATAGCTCAGCTTCCCCAAGGCTCACCTCGGCATCACCCCCTCTACCAGCCCTGCACCCCACCCCCTGTCTGAGTGAGGTGCCTGCCCCCTGTGCTCATCCTGGCCTGAGCCTGTCTGGTGGTGGCGGTCACCTCCCTTCCCTCAGTGTCCACACTTGGCAAACATTTGAGGAGGGGCGGAGGGAAGGGGCTATGATTCTGCATTGGGGGCACAGTGAGGAGCCATGGAGGAGAGCGATGCTCACCCCTGATGTGGGCAGGAGGATTCCAAGAGTGGCAGAGGGGCTGTGGGGGTGGGGGACTGAGCGGATACCCTCCTGCTTGGACTTCATGTAGGCTGACTGTGAGCTTCCTGGGTTTATTTGGGGTTCATTTTGTATCTGCTGCTCATGGACAGTGACTGGCATGTAGTAGGCAGTTTGAATGTTTGAATGTGAATCTGAGTTCCTGTCCTTTTAGAAGCTAGGCCTGTACAGACCACAAGTCCATGCCAACAGGGACCACACCTGCCTTTGTCATTGCTGTGACCCATCACTTAGCACTATGGCCAGCACATAGCATGCAGCCAGGGTTTGCTGGGGAACGAGTGGGTTGCGGGTGAAGGGGTGCTCTGACTGCAGCCCCCCTTTTGTTGGAATTCATGGGATTGGAACGTGGGTAATCAGGTAGATTAAACAAGTCCCACCAGCTTGCTGTGTGGCCTTACGGCCCTTCCCTCTGGGCTGTTCTCTGGCTGGCTCCAGTCAGCCCCGGTGACTTCCAAGCCACTGAGTGCTGATGCTCTGGGTCTGTGTTCGAGACAGCAAGGTGGTCTGTCTCCCCCAGGTGTACCCGATTGTCGACTTCCCCTTGCGAGAGATCTCTCTGGCCTCCCAGAGGGGCATTGCCGAGCACAGTGCTGCCCTGGCTTCCCGCGCCCGCATCCTGCAGCAGGTGAGTGTTTGGGGGACCTGGGGACTTGAGGGGTGGGGCAAGGGCTGGAGGGGCTGCCCTGGCTCTGATGTCTCCTCCAGGGGCTGCTGATCCTTCAGGATCTGGCCTGGGGCTGTCGGGAGGTGAGGCTCCTGGGGCCAGGCTGGGGGCGCTGTTTTCTGGTCATCTGGAGGAAGCTGAGCCTCCTCTCTGCACGGAGGGGAGGCTCTTTCCTGAGAATGTCCGGGCTGCAGGACTGAGGAGGTTGGAGGGGAGGGAGTCCCAGTGTGAGGAACACAAACGTGCTAGAGACTGACCTGAGGCTTGTGTGGCTGGAGGGCGGAGAGCAGAGCAGCGTGAGGCTGCAGAGGCAGGAAGGGCCACAGGCCATGGTGACGAGTTTGGATTTTTATTCTGAGAGGTGGCAAGCTATTGAAGGGTTTCAAGCACAAATGTGGCATAGTGTGACTCAGATTCAAATTCCCTGGTATTCAGAGATGAGAAGGGAAAGCTGGAGATCCACGTCATGGGCTTGGCTGGAATCCGGTGTCCTGCTGCTCAGGCCAGCACACTTCCCAAATCTCAGCCTGTCCTCCTGCTTGGGTGCTTTGGCTGCTATATTCTAATGGCCACCAGGTGGCGGGGGTGCCTGCCACTTCTCCAGGTGCGGACTGAGATGCGCCTCTGGCCACCGCTGCAACTCGCCAAGGGGCCATAAGATGGGGTTGGCCAGGGAACACTCTGCCCATGAGGTAGGGACAACTGGCAGCCGGGGACTGAGCCTGGCAGACTGGGCTCAAATCCTGGGTCTCCTGCCTCCTAAAAGATCCTGGGCTAGCTACTTCCTCCTCCTTTAAGTCCAGTTTCTCATCTGCAAAAAAGAGACACTGATGCCACCTCAGAGAGCTTTACGGGCAGGAGATAATTTGATTAAAGTGCTTGGTATCTGGTGCTCAGAATGTCTCTTTTCCTTCTGTTCTTTGCAATGAGCATTTCCCCTTCTCTCTCTCTGCACATCTCTCCTGTTTTCAGAAGAAGGATGCATTTCATCTAAAATTAATACAGACCATCTTGGAGCTGAAACGGGACGTAGAAATCATGCAGTTAAGGCTCTGCAAACTTAAATGCCAGGGCCAGGCAGTGACATGGGGGGGAAGGTTCCCCTCAGCCAAAGGAGCCAGCCACCACTCAGCTTTGTGTAGACTCAGGGCCCAGAGTTTCCAGGCCTCCTAAAGTTCAGAGTTTTATATGAAACCTTCCGATTTTTCAATATTGACAATGAAATTTTTAAAATGCTAAGAATCCTGTGTGGGCTGATGGACCTGCTTTGGCCCAAGGGCCACCGTTGGCTTCTCAAGGTCTAATCCAAATTCATGACTTTTCCCATAAATCAGAGGAGGCCCAGAGAGGGAAAGTAATTGTCCAAGGTCACAAAGCCTCTTAGTGAAGAGCCCAGGAATAGAAACCTGACTCCAAGTCAAATGTTATTATTCATTGCATTCAAGAGACACAGGTGACTCTTCGAAAGCTAGTACAGCCGTCCCTAGTCCCTCTGTATCTGCAGGAGATTGGTTTCAGGACCCCCACCCCCACTTCCTCCCTACAGATACCAAAGTCCGAGGATGCTCAAGTCTCTGATATAAAAGGGCATTGTGTTCACATATAACCTACCCATATCCTCCCAGATACTTTAAATCGTGTCTATTTATAATACCGAATGCAATGAAAATGCTATGTAAATAGTTGTTATACTGTATTGTTTTTTATTTGTATTATTTTTAGTGTCGTATTTTTTTAAAAAATTTTTTCAACTATTTTCAATCTGGGTTGGTTGAATCTGTGGATGAGGAACCCACAGATAGGGAGGGGCAACGGTACAGGCTTGTAGGAATATCACTTGCTGGGAGTGGGATTTAGGGCCCCTTTCACTGGGCCAGACAGTGCAGGGACAAGCACTTACCAGGGGAGGACCTGCTTCCCGGCACCAGCACCGGTGCTCCCTCGTGGCTTTGAGCCTCTCTCCTCCTTCCCGTGGGCCTCAATGTCCTCCTGGAGGCAAGAGAGCTGGCTTTTGTTCTTCGGCATCGTATGTCACCGGGCACAACCTCCTGGGGCTACCTGTGCTCTTCATGGGAGGTGAGCTCCACGTCTCCAGGACAGGACTCTGAACAGAGCTGAGCTGTGAGCAGCCAGCACGGAGAAGCTGGGGCGGGTGTGCAGAAGCAGATTTGAGGGAGTCTGGGTGGGGACCCCAGAGTGGGCTGTAAGGGCACTGGCTCTTGCAGTACTGGTGTGCTATGGTTTGGATTACATCTAAGAACCCCAAATTTTGAGGCATCTACCCTGGGGATGAGAAGAGGGGACAGAAGTATTAAGTGGGGTAAGGAAATGATTTTAGCAGCTTTCAAGCACTGGTGGTTACCTGGGAACGTTTTTTACTTCTGAGGCTGACAATTTGAGTCCTTTCTGAACCCTTCATTTGGCCACTGGTGAAACTGAGGCCCAAAGAGGGGAAGTGACCTGCCCCAAATTACATAGTTGTTGGTGGCAAGTCCAGGACTAGAACTCAGGCTCTAGCCTCCCTAGAACTGAGGCTTCTCTCCTATAACATAGTCCTGTCTCAGGCAATGCAAGTCATTTGTAAACAAGTCCTGGGGCCAGAAGGGTAAACCAGGGGACAGATGCTCATTTTTCTTTAAAAGAGACCATAATGGGAGATTAGGTCAGTTTTGTGAACCTTTCTAAATTGGCCTTTGGTCCTGGAGCTGCAGACAAAGCTCCAGACTGATGTGTTACTCAGAATGGAGCAGTTAGTGCATGGCCTCCAGCCACGAGGAGAGAACTGCCTCTGCTACGTGCCTCGCCTCAGCAGGCTGTGACTCTGAGGCCTGGAATCTGTTCCTTGCAGGGGAACGGCCAGGCCGGCAAACAGATAAGCAGCCAATTACAAGATAACCACTTGAGGGCGCTCGATGTCTTGAGCAATTTGTGGTCTCAAACCCGGAGACTTTAGAAACAGAAGCAGAGGGAGGCGCGCGCGCGCGCGCGCGCGCGCGTGTGTGTGTGTGTGTGTGTGTGTGTGTGTGTGTGTGTGTATTGGGTATCTGCGCTCTCCGTTTGATCTTAGTGTAAAAGTCTGGAAACGAGAGAGTGGTCCTGACCCCACTGTCCAGGCCTTCTGAGCAGTGACATTGACTCCATGTCCTTGTGCCCCTTACTTCCCATTTGGAGCTCTTTATACCCTAAGAGTGGTCTTCTCTCTTCTGTTTCCAAAATTGTCATTCGGATATCAGTTTCTCCATCGGTCTCATCGTCTCATTTGGGTGTTTCAACAACTCTGTGAAATGGAAGTTTATATCCCCATTTCACAGATGAGGAAACTGAGGCCCAGGGAAATGGAGCCCATGATCACACAGAAAGCTCTGGAACTTTCATGTCCTGACTGACTCCCTCTTCCTTCCGCAGTGTCATGCTGCCCCAGCTCTCCTCCAGCAGAGCAGGGAGACTGCTTCTCAAAATGCCCCCCCTGCCCTGCTCTCCTGTGGGGTTGCTAGGGCAGGTTTTCTGGAATGGAGAGAGAAGTCCAACAGCCCGATGGCTTCAGCTCCAGCTCCCCTCCCGGCCTGTTTTACACTTTCCCCTGGGGCCTCTGAGCTGCCAACTATAGCCAGCGGACTTGGGGCCCTTTTCCAGATGGGGTGAATTTTTGCAACTAAAGAGGGTCTGACTCTGGGCCAATCATGCCATCTCTCCCTGGGTTTGGGATCCCCAAATCTGAGTCCAGGACAGGGGAGCAGCTTGTGCAGAAGAAGTGATTCTGGCACAGAGCCTGGCCACAGTAAGTCCCCAAGAAAGCTTAGCTGAAATTATTGGGAGTAACATTTTTGCATCAACTGTGTAGCACAGTTCCCGATAGCAAAACAACACAGAGAGTTAATGGAGACGCGGTGCCTTGATGAGAGCCGGATGTTTTCTCCCAAGGTGGGGCTGTTATGTCCTGTTCAGGGCCTTGTGATTTAATCAAGTTATTGAGCAACTGCTCGGAGAAGGGGCCAGAGAATGAGGGACTTAGCTTCACTCTGTGGGCGGGAGGTAGTTCCCTATTCTGTTTTGGGAGCATTTAAAAAAAGGTTGATGTTGGGGAAGAGATTTGAGCATTGAATGGGTACAGTGAGGAGATGGGCCTTGAACTAGATAATCTTCTAAACCTGAAGTTTCATGAGCCCATGGCCTCAGTTTCCCCATTTGTAAAAGGAAGGGAGCATTTGGGACAGGATTTTCTCAAAGCAGGGTCAATACAAAACATGGTGGTGGTGGGGGAGGGGGGTCTGAGAAAATACCCTGACACAGCCCACCAAACTCTGAAATTTCTTTGGTGTCAATGTTTTATTTAAAATTTAATTCAAGTTTTATAAACCACTTCTTAATATTTCCATGGATGTTTTAATATGTAAGTGTTCGAAGACTTTATTCTTCACATTTTCCCACCCCTGATCTAAAAATTAATGCTTCTAGAAGACGTCACGTTTGGCTGGCGGCTTTCCATACACCCTGGAATGCCTGTGCCCACTGGTGAAACCTAGGTTCTGATGGTGATTAGAGATGAGTCAGTTTTGGCCAGAGCTTTGGGTATGTGAAGGAGCATAGCAGGAGATACATCTAGAAAGGAAGATTGGAGCCAAATTGTGCAGAGCCTAGAATGTCAACTCCAGAGCATGCGCTTCATCCCACAGGTAGTAGGGAGCCACTGAAGGTTCCTGAGCAGGTGAATGACCTGAACAGAATACTGAAGGTTTTCTTGGCTATTTGTTTCCTCAGCGCCAGACCATCGAGCTGATCCCCCTCACAGAAGTTCACTACTGGTACCAAGGAAAGACTTATGTCTACTACATCTACGGCACCGACCACCAGGTGTATGTGGTAGACTATCCTGAGCGGTACTGCTGTGGCTGCACCATCATCTGACATGGTGCAGCTGTCCCCAGAACCTGCCATTCACTTTTGCCGAGGAGGACAACAGACAGTCTGTGAGCCCAATCACTGCTGGCTGCATTGGACAATCACACGCAAACCCTGGCATATTCTTCCAGAAAAATCAGCTAATTGTCAAGCCACGACTCTTTATGGAGCCCCTCTGGTGGAATCCATCACTCTTATGTTTAACCTACAAGAATTCAACTACACAAATTCCCTTAGGCAAATGAGAGAAATAATTTAGATGGTGGGGGCTTTGCCTCTGGTCTCCAGGCTAATGCCCCAATCGAGTGTGTGGCTCGACACTGCCTTTTCCTCCGTCAGTCTCAGTTCTGGTGTGCTGCTTCTAGTGTGAGCCTCTTGCCAAGCTAAGTGTTATTGAAATGATTAAAGATACCCACAAATTGGCTGTCTCTCATGCACAGCTATACTAGCAGTGTACTGAGACATTAGGTGCAAAATTTTATGCCCCAGTCTGTGGGTCAGGAATTTAGCCATAGCCTGGATGGTTTATTTCTGCTTCAGGAGGTCTGGGGGCTCAATAGGAAAACTTGAAGGCTGGGGTGTCTCAAGGGTGGGGGCTGAAATCATCTGGAGACTGGTTCACTCAGATGGTGGTTGATAGTGGCTATCTACTGGACCTGGCTTGAGATCTGTCAGTGGGAACACGTACACGTGGCCTCTCCCTGCAGCCAGGGCTTCCTCACAACATGGCGCCTCATGCACATCTGTTCTCACACTGGAGAACAAACCATGTTGGATGGACTGAGGACTTATTTGCTGATCCCTAATATGGTGTGTATGTAAAGATTTTAGAGAGTGATTTTGTATAGATGCAGTCTTTTACATTGCACCTGGCCTTAGAGCCTGCTCACTGAATAAGATGTGAACAGGCTGTACTGTGTACCTAATCATGTGCAGGAGCTCCTACCTGGTGGAATGAGGCTGAGCAGGTGGAGGGGACACCTGAAGACTGGATGCTAAGTCAGCTTTGGAGAGTTGGTGCTGAGCCTGGTGGGCCACTGTGCACCTGGTTGTGGGTAACCAGAGGCAACTGTCATATTATGATGCCTGCCCCACTCGCAGAAGGGTATGCTACAGAAGAAGTGACCTCTGAATCAGACCCAGAGAGAGCCAGTTGACACCTCCTCTTGATATCCAAGCTAGAGCCGACATGCACTCTTTGCCCCCACCCGCTCCCCTACTCCAGGGATGTGGACGTAACAGGGCTGGTTGGAGGAGGCGTGGAGAGACAGAGACTATTGCCCAGGGCATCACCGATAAAGGATGAGCACTCGTGTCCTCACCTGCTGCTGCTGAAACCCTGGATCTCCCTGTTTCTGTTTGGACATTGCTGTTTTCCCAAGTTTGGCTGAACCACACACTGGCAGGGTCTGGCTGACAGCATGGTGACTAGTCTTGCTAACTGGAGCAACAGGGTTCAGAGGTCTCCAGCTTCCTCAGGACTTCACAGAGCCCAAGGGGAACTTGACCCAGAAGAAAAGTGCCAAGAACCTGGAGGCTCTAAGAAGCCTGATCCCAGCAAACCTTCCAGATTCAGGTTTCAGCTCCTGCTCTTAGTACCTCCAGCGAGTTCCGTGGGCTCAGCATGTAGGGGCTGCCAAGGACAGAACAAGGTGCCTCCTTGGGTCAGGGTGTGATGGGGCATGGGCAACAGCTGGTCCCTAGGGACAGAACCTGGTGGTGGCAGGAGAAAGAGGGATGGTCCCCAAGGAAGGTCCTCCTCCCTCTTCCTCCTGAAGCTCTGTCATGCTCAAGTCTAGGAGGCCCCTGCTCTGGTGTAAGAAGGGAGGCCACCACCCCCCGTCCCAACGTCGCCATGGGCTTACCTTCATGGTCCTCGAAGGGAATGCTTGTTTTCGTGGTAGCAATGACAGGATGCAGCACTACTGGCACTGGGTGGATGGAGTCCAGGAAAGCTAGTTGTCCAGCAATGCTTGGGGACATCTGCACAATGAAACACTGTTCCACATCTTACAAGACTTGCCAATATCCCACTGACGTTCACGTAGAAAGTTACCTACTCAGAAGTCTCACCAGTTAATACCTAATGTAATGCTGATTTTTATTTAGTGTTTATCTGTATCCTTCAATTTTTCCTCTATGTCTTGTTTAAAATGACTTTTGATCATCTTACTTCTCTTAAATCCACATTTATGACTTACACATGGGTGTAACTATCTGTTGATTTTATTACGGCTCCTGAAGCAATTGTGCCTGGGCATTTACAGACTGAAATACATGTATCTTAAAAAATTACTTTCTTCTAATTTTTCCTTTATATTTCAGTCTGGGCATTAAGTTGCTTTAAAAGAAAACAACAACTGTTTGTAAGTGGGCTATATATGAATTTTATTTTAGGATAAAAAAGGGAGCATGGAGAATGTTAAGGTTGAGACCCAATGTTCCCCACACACTGTTGGCTTGTGAACCCAACAAGAAAATACTGGCTGGAATGAGGTGGGACCAGGGACACTGTTGTAACTGAGCAGCAAGCAAAGAGGCACCACCGAGCGGCCAGCCCCAGGAGCACTTAATTCTGATGATTCCACCAAAAATGCAGTGGGTACTGGGTCCTCCTGCCATTGGATAACTGCTGCATGTTTTCCTTGCAGTGTCATCTGTTTTTATGACATCCACTGCAGCCAGGTTGTGACTTAGTTTGCTCTTCCTGCCTCTCTGTTATCAAGGGCTGATTTGGCTGTTACCTTCTAGTCCTAGACCCAGTTGAAGTCTTTGGGGCTGGAGAGTAGGACATAAAGACACCCCTGAAACTCACCATCATGGACTGTCACTGTGGGCCTGATTCAGTTTTGTTTTAGAAGAGCGGCAGCCTCAAGTGGTTTGCTTTTTCTTTGTTGCCCTGCCACAGGAGAGTGCTAGTCTTATTCTTTACAAGTCACTGATGATCACAGGGTCTCTGCCAGGTGTCCAGAGCCATGCTGGGCTTTGTAAGGTGTATTAGTCCGTTTCTGTTGCTTATAACAAAATACCTGGAACTGAGCAACTTGTATAAAGAAACAATATTTATTGCTTACAGTTTCAGAGGCTGGAAATTGCAAAGTCCAGGGAACACATCTGGCAAGGGTCTTCTTTGGTGGTGACTTCAGTGATACAGGGTATCACATTGTGAGATGGGGGGTGGCTTAAGCAGAGAGAGAGAGAGAGAGAGAGAGAGAGAGAGAGAGAGCTCTTCATGTGCTCTCCTTTTAAGCCATCAGAACCATGCCCATGACTACTATTAAACCATCAATTTATGAATCCGTTCACTAGGTGTGGTCCTCACAAACTAATCACCTCTTTGAGGCTCCACCTTTCAATTACTATAATAGGATTTCCTATCCTCTTAACACAGTCACAGTGGAGGTTAAGTTTCTGGTACATGGCCTTTGGGGGACACAATCCAATCCACAGACTAAGGGTTTTGGAAAGATTGAAGTCTCTGCCCTAAGTCTACAGGGTCATAGGAGAGACTATATGTAAACAGAGGAATATGAAAGAATCAACACTGAGTTGGTGTACAAGATGAGGATGCTTAAGACCCAAGTTGGTGGTGGTGGTTACAAGTGACTGAAATTCAAATGGACTTAAGCAGAAAAGGTCATTGGTAAGCTCTTGGACCTTAACAAAGTTGACCAGCTTCACATGCAGCTGGATCCAGGGATGTGATCAGTTTCATTCCAATACGATCTCCCTCCCCTCCTGCCTTCTGCTTTCTCTATATGTTTTTCTTTCTTTTGATTGTGTTCTCAGGCTTTCCCCATGTTGGTAGTTAAGACAGCTAACAAAAGCTGTAGAATTTCATCGTAGGAGTTCAGCAATCCCAGGAAAGAGGGTGCTGCAAGCTAATTTGCCAGTTGGGTTGCACAAAAGCCCCAGGGAAGGCTCTCAGTGGCTTGGCCTGGGTCACATGCCCATTATTGAGCCAGTTTCTGGTTAGAGAATGCTGTGGCTGGATTGGTCAGGCAGTCTAGGTCACATGACACCCCTCTCTACCCCTGAACGGGGGGTCAGCCTCAGCCAAATCAGAAAGAGAACTGGAAGCTGGGAAGGCAGAAGCATCACCTGTCCATAAGGCAGAAAGTGCTGGGTTTATGCAGGATGGCATTCTGGAGATTTCCCAAATGACATCTTAAGCCATGGGGATGAGGGCTGAGTCCTTTCTCCATTGACCCTGTGTTTTCTTTCCCTGCATTTGCTGAGGTGGTGCGACTGCTGTGCCTCTGCACTCTAATAAAAAGAAGAATTTGGACTGACTTCGGCTTACTTTCTGCAGGTCTCAGGGGAGGCACTCAGTGATCCTGGAATGGGAGAGTATTGTGTGTGTGTGTGTATGCATGGTGTGTGGTGATGTGTAGCGGTGCGTGTGCGTGCGTGTGTGTGTGTGTGTGTGTGTGTGTGTGTGTGTGTGTGTATTTGCCAGGTGGGAGGGTGTGATATCGTGAAGATTTATATTTGGTCTCCTGGCATACAACTCCTAAAATCCTCAGAATCTCCAAAGTGATGAGCGTCTTTTTGTATGCTAATGAGTTGACTGGTGGCTGGCAGCCCTGGGGTAGCTGCAGGATGGAGGCTGGTCACAGGAAAGACCAAGACAGGATTAGAGGGGTGGGACTTTCCGTTCCACACCCAACTTCTGGGGAGGAGCAAGGAGCTGAAGGTTAAGTTGATCACGGTGGCCAACCAGTCGTGCCTGTGTAAAGAGGCCTCCGTAAGGGCTGGCTGGTTAGCTCAGTTGGTTAGAACGTGGTGTTACAACACCAAGGTCAAGGGTTTGGAAACCTGTAATGGTCAGCCACCAAAATAAATAAATAAAAATCCAAAAGGACAGGGTTCAGAGAGCTTCTGTATAGCTGAACACGTGGAGGTTCCTGGAGGGTGGGGCGCCCAGGGAAGGTGTGGGAGCTGCTCCCCCTTCCCCACACCTGCCCGTGTGTCTCTTCATCTGCATCCTTGGTAATATCCTTTACAATAAACTGGTAAATGTAAGTAAGCATTTCCCTGAGTGCTCTGAGCCACTCAACAAATCATTCAAATCTGAGGAGGTTGTGGGGCCCCCGATTTATAGCTGGTGGGTCAGAAGTTCTAGGGGTGTGGTCTTGCTACTGGCATCTGAAGTCGGGGCAGTCTTAGGGATGGTCCTCACCCTGTGGGATCTGGCACTCTCTCCAGGTAGTGTCAGAACTGATTTGAATTAGAGGAAACCCAGCTGGTGTCCACTGCAGAGCTGATTGCCTGTTGGTGGGGAGAAATCCACACATTTGCTCATAGAATTCCATCTTCATGTGCTCTCTTGTGGTGCTCTTCAATTCCATCTTTTGTGGTGTTGCTGAGTGAGAATGTAGGAAAGCAGTTGGCTTTGATATTCCTGTGTACTTCCAGGGGGTTACTGCTTAGAAGGCAGGAGGGAGGGACTTCTTTCTACCACC